TCTTCTGGAAACATTTGGATTCATTTTTCTTAATTTCTATTTTTACTGAAATGAAAACAGAGACGTCTCTAAGCTTCAGCGCTGCCATTATAGGACGACTCTGCTTCCCCACAGAGGCGCCCTGAACAGGAAGCTGTTAGTTTGGCCAGATGGTGGCGCTGCTGACCTTCAACCACAGCTTTGAGGTAGACGTGTTTCCCTACAGGCACATGCATGACGGTCCCTCGTGGAAACTGCAGCCTGAAAACCCGGGTGTTGTAGTTGACCTGGGTTTTAGACACCAGCGAACATTCCCGATAGACGAGCCCTGAGAGGAAGGAAGAGTGAGGAGGAGATCAGGAAGGTTGGATCTGAGCGGCTGAAGGATCACTGCTGGATGCTGAATCTCACCTCGGTCCTTCTTGCATAGAAAGGTGTTGTGAGAGTCCAGCGGCTGACCCAGGCTCGTCCATTTAGCTTTGCTTCCTTTGGGAATGGAGACCTGGATCTTCCCCACGGAGGAAGCAGAGCGGACTGGAGGAGATGAAGACAGTTTGATGTTAGCAAAGAGACATTCAGCCACATCTGGGTAAGAATGACTGGAAACAAGGAAGGAAAACATCCAGAATCTTCTGCTAAGTTTCCTTTAAGAAGCTGAAGGTTGGAGGCGGATGACCTGCACCTTTTAGATGATTCTCTGCTTAAACGGGCCTGGATCAGGACTCCAGAGAACCGGACTAAACCGAGGAGGTCATTCATTCATCGTGTGACTCAGGTGTCTAACAGGCGCCGGTACCGACCCTATAGAACCCGAGTTTGGCATCCCAGAGGCTTTCAAACCCCGTCCTCCATGTCCCTGCCTGTCCTTCTTTGGACATTTAGTTGATCAATCCTATATTCTCCAATCAGGACCAATCAGCAACCTTGATTTGTTTCAAATGTGTCCCTCCTCTGCAGGAGCGGGCTGCTCTGTTAGCAGGGACGTTAAAAACCTGGAATAAAAGGCTAAATCTAGTCAGTTCAGAGAAGCGTTACCTGAAGAATTTGATCTGTTACCAAAACCCAAACAGTCTTAGAAAATAGAAAAGATGAACAGCAGTTTTCTGCCGACGGCGTCAGAGGCAGCGGTGAGAAACCAGAGCTACTGATACTGAGGTAACAAACGATTCCCCGAGGTTTTAAACGCTTTCCTCTGCTTTATGTTCTATATTCACCCACTTTGGTACCTGTGAGTGTTTTCATCATTAACATTAATAAATATAATTATCTGTAATGCACTTTACATTTGAGAAAAATCTCAAAGTGCTACAGGTAAAATCATCATTATTATTATGATTCCTCCTGTCTGTGGACTTCAGCGCCAATTTTAAATAAATTTACTGACCTGATGTTTGCTGATCAGACTAAATGCCTCATTAAGTGTCTCATTAAAAGCCTCGGTAATGCTGTGCCTCACTGTGTCGCCATTCAAACTTTCCTGAGGTTGTCAGTTTATTTTATTCTATAGCATTTTTAAAAACTTCGGGGGGGAAACCAAAGTGCTGCACATAAAAACAGGGACCAATGAGAACCGAGGGGCCGCAATCTAAGGGGACCTAAACCAGTTTAGAGTCAGTCTACACTAACAACTAGACTAATTAGGACAAGAGAGATTAGAAAAAAATAAAACAACAAAACAACGTAAGAGTAGATTTTCACAAATCCCTGGCTAATAAATCCATAGACATATTGATATGCATTTTGTCTAAGTTGGTTCTGCATAATAAAATGGCTGCAGAGACACAAAATGTTCCCTTCTTCCCCATGAAGCTGCTGGTCTGGAGGCTCTAAACATGTCCAAATGGGAACAACAAATCACAGGAAGTGAGAAAATGGGTCATGAGTTTGGAAATAAGTCATCAACCAACGGACCAACATGAGAAAGCCTGAAGAAAAACTCAAACTTTTATTTTTTCATCAAGAGAAAAGTAGCAAACAGAATCAGCATCAGTTACATCAAGTGTTTAAAGATTTTCTTACCTGAAACATTTTCTTCAACTTCGTCAGCGAGACCTGGAAATAAATAAATAAATAAATAAACTCCTTTAACAAATAAAAGGTGTTAAAGTCTGAAATCTGGAGCCGATTGATGCTGCGACAGCATGAAGGAAGGGAAGAACGATGAAGGCTAACGCTAACATGCTAACATTAACAAGATGCATGAGTCATTCTG